ACATTCACACTATAGATATTAGATGGATAAAATATATGTTCCAAAGTATCGAAATCATAAATAATAGTACGATTAACAAATTATAAATAATCTGAACAACATTTCTTGAGCTAACATTTTGTTATCAATTAAGTGTAATCTAAAAAAAATGTATATAATGTATAAATATGCATTAAAAATAAATAAAATGCTCTAAAAACTCCAAAACGAATAGAATACAAAATAAAAATATTCTGTTGTATGAAACAGATGCTGTACATAAAAAGCATTGCCTGAAACTTCTCAAAAAATAATGCCATAAAATAGCATAATGAGTATTATAGCCATCTGTGTAAGATGTAATTAAATACTGGTTTTTATTTTGTATGTTTGGTTTTATTTAGATACGTAATACTGAGATTTTTGTAAATAATTGTTTGGTCTTGAAAAAAAAGAAATAAGGAATTTAAAACTATTTTATTTGCATATGAATCCTCATAGCATATATAAAAATAAGTATTTTAATTTAAAATTAAATGTAATAGATTAGTTTTGAAATAAGTATTGTTTATGATTATATTTGTAGCCATAAAAATAATGTAAAATGACACCACTGACTTGGTATCAAAGTTTATTTTTATAGAAATAAAAGTACGTATGGTTTCAAGTACTTACACAAAGTGGTATTTTAGACATGTCTAAATATTTTATGAATCCATTCATTGATGTTTCATTATCAGAAGTAACATTGATGTGTTGTTCTTCATTTAACGGAGGGGATTCTTTAACCATTTAATCAAATTAAATAAAAATAAAAATATAAAACAATTCATATATATTTAAAATAAGGTAGGTCTATGAACTTACTTAATTTAGGCATGGTAGGAGGAATGCGAGAAAAATAAGGTGAAGGTAATAGTCTTTGGGGATGTGGCTGTGTAAATAATTGTACAATGCCAGATGATGATAAATAGGTGTGATTATCACACAGTTGAAGGCACACATTTTTTGATTTTACAGCAGCCGAACCAGATAATCTAACAAATTAAAGATGTCAGATAATTATAATATACATACATTATTAAAAATTAGTTATCTTTTACTTATATCCAAATGTTAAATCAATCCAATGATGTAAACGTTCTGAAATATAGTTGCTTTCTAGTATAGCTCTATGTGTATCTACCAGGTCTTGTACATTTTCTGCCCATGTTGGAATGCCCAAATCAGGTAATTCTTTATGTATAGACTGATAAAAAGTTATGAATCAGTGCTAGTTATTTTTAAAATGTCTCCTAAGTATTATCAATACTTTAAAAACTGATGGATCGGTAAAAAATTCTGGTATACATTCATCTGGAGACCATTGTTGCATGCGTTGTATGCTTGTAGGATATTCTTCTGGTACAAATTTTGGTCTAATATAACGACAAAGAACTGATCGCGGAGTTACCCGAGATCGATAAACATAGTAAGTTATTTCTGATAAAATGTCAGGAACATGATGTGGGGTCTGAAACATTAAATTGTATAGATAGTATAAACTACAATATCTAGACATTTTTTAAAACATACTAAAATTGAAGTTTTTTCATCTCCAATGTCATAAGTTAAATCTAACTGCCTGTCTCCTTTATTCAATCTGTACTTTGATTTAGTGAGGTCACGATAATTAAGTCCAGCTCGAGAACTAAAGTCAGTTACCCAAGGAAATACATGATGGCATTTAGGATCACCATATTTCCTACCAGCTAGCTTATTCAAAAACATAATGTAGTCAAAGTTTGACATGTTTCCACGAACCCACTGTTCACAAGTTTCTGCTAAATTCTCACAAGTCAAACTTTTAACTGTTTCATCATAGCTATTGTCAAATTCATCAGCATCTGAAATATTGTCAGTGATTTTTGGAAGTACCTAAGAACAATAATGTTTAGAATGAAATCACTATTTTACGTAAGTATATGAATTATAACAAGTAATAAATAACGTTAGCCTACCCGAATCCATAATTCAGGGGAAACAATGATATCAGACAAAGTAATGTCACCTAACACAAGTCCTTGGTCATGGGTGTGTTGCATTGCATTCAAAAGTTGATATAAAACAAAGAGTGGACGAGCATGATTAGATTTTAATAAAGCTGGACTATAATTTATACAATCTTGTAATGAATGTACATTATTTGTTTCCTAAAAAACAGTATATATTTTTTATATTAATAGACACCATTAAAATAACTAAGAGTAACCTACCTGTAGCAGGTAAAAATAATTATTAGTTTCAAAAACAATGTTAGAGGGCAAAATATTCCCATGAGATTCATTTTCCGCTACTGAGGATATTTTATTATGCGATTGTTCTTGTAAATTGATTATTGGACAATTATAAAAACGGGTGAGTACATCTCGTATTATTGTGTCATGAGGAGATAGACATAGATTTGAGCAAGGTAATTTTTCTCTACAAAAAAAACCATCTGAAAAATAAAATTGATAATGATTGTATAACATCAAACCACTTTAGTTATAATGTTAGCAGCTTTTACATAATCAAATATGAAGAATACACTACCATATTTTTTATACGCTTCTTTCCACAAATTTTTTCTATTAGTAACTGTAACATATTGTAATTGTTGGGAATAACTTAAATCTTTATCAAAATGCACAGGTTCGTGTCGTCGTGCCAAAGGAATCATAGATTTATCCACTTTTTGAATAACCTTCCAAAAAAATATTCAATATTATTACTTTGAAAAATAATCTGTAAATAATGTTTACATACAGTAATTAAAACATATATCCAAGTATCACCCAAACTCTCAATTTGTTGGACCTTTGCACGGACGTCATCGTTTGTGAATATTTCATGATGCAAAAACGGACGATAAATGCCATTTAAGAAATCTCTGTTAAACAAAATAGTACTATTAATAATAATTTGAAATCACACGGCTAATTTTTACCTAAACCAAATCCGATGGACACTGGCGAGAAATCGTTTAGAATTGTTAGTGGACTTCAAATATTCAACAGGAATTGTAAGGTCTTTTGAAATAACGTCCAGCCAAGCCATGAGTAGTAAATTTAAGAATAATAAGTACGGTTAAGATACATGTCTTGATTAAAGGATTGGCAGATGAGTAAATTTTAAATTTTAAATTTGAATATAATAATATTGACGATTTTTTATCTTTATGTTATCTATTATTTGTAAATAAATACTATTATCACCACAGATATATATACTATAATCACAGAATAGATTAAATTTAATCTATTCTGTGCTATAATTAGTATATACCTGTTATCTGTGAGTTATACGCTCCTCATACTATTTTTTCAAATTGAAAACTGAAGGCGGCTAGAGCAGCCGAGCAGGTACAAATAATCACATAAAACAGGTCAGAAGCTAGAGAAAACTGTGGGTCTTGAGTTTGGCGGATTTTAATTTTGAAAACTAATAAAAAATCTTCAACAACTGTATTAAAGCACGGCCGTGGAAATTTATCATTATTACAAAAGTGAATGACATACTTAACCAAAATTCTAATTTTTTAAATTTTCGATATTTTATCGAAGAATTTGAACAAATAGAATCCCCTCGACTATTCCCCAACAAACACAATGATTAATTAACATCCATTTTCAAAATTAAATTCCCTCGATCCAAGTTCTTCAATTTTGTCTAGCTTTTTGGTATTTGATAGCATGGCGTATATTTGATGAAATCTGTATCATTGACATGTGCCTGAGGGTTCGGAAACTGATATATGCGCAGCACGATTTATATTTTATTGTTTTGTGTTTTAAGCATAATTTAAGATATCTTAAATCGAGGCGGCCAGTAAGCCGTGGGTGCCCGGTACTCGATAACGAATTTTCAAATTACATACATTAGCATTCATCTACTTCTCACACACAAACACATCTCAAATATAATTGCTATATGAAATGCCTAAATATCACGCTCCAGCCACCTTAAGATATGAGAAGTGTGCTATGTGCCAATAAAGGCAACTATGATAACAACTAATATTGTTCTTCTATTATAATTCAATTTTCATTTAGCAAAATAATATGGTCAAATGTTTAGATCTGAGATTATTGGGGTTCTAAATCTCCTTACAAACCAGTGGCATAACTACAGAGGGTGTGGGGGATTTGTGTGTTGGTTGTATCTTTCACCCCTATGAATTTTTAGGTAATAGGTAATTATATTAGTTTATTTTATGGGAACTATACAAAAAGCCCGATTTTCCAATGATAGCTGTGTATAACTAAGATAATATTACTTCACAATAAACACTAATCAGTATAAATTACAGGTTGAAATAAATCATGTTAATACCATTCATAAAATACCTACTTGAACTGTTAATTGTAATTAATACTTTCTATACCAAATAATTTTCTAAGTGCCTAAAAATTACACACAATATTTTAGGTAATGTGAAATTGTGAATATGTCTTAAACGTTGAGTTTAAGTTTTAAAAATATAAATTATGTTTAGCTAACAAATTTCTATGGAAAAAGTAATTTAAACGGGATGCAAAATCCATTTTTTCAGGATATGATTAACAAATAAAAAAAAACTGAAGTATAATAATATATAATAAACACAATTTAATGTTTGAAAATTATCAATATAACAAAAAAAAATTCATTTAAGACTTTGGCTATAATATTTATACATACAATTACCGAAAAATATATATTTATTTATAAATGATTAGGTCTTTACCAAGTACAAAATTTACAAGTAAAAAAATTACTTACAATCCTAAAACAGGGTATGGCCAAGGATATAATATTTTAGATTTATAACATTTTGATATTACTATAATTTGTATCACAGTCATTTAAGTTTTTGGACTAAGTACTATGGTAAAATAAATTACAAGAAAAACATTTTGTTTGAAAAAATAAATATGCTTAATCTATATTATTGGATTAGAAATAATTTGCTTCGAATATCTGCCTAAAATAAATAACAAAAGAATAGTAAAAGTTGTCTGAAAATATATTAAATATATTTTTTTTTATATTTAGTTGACTTGTAACTTGTACTGGATTAATTTATAAATCATTACTTGACATAGTCATATCTATCACCACTCAAATATTATAATATGCATAACATAACTCAGTTCAATACAAATATGCAATTTATTTTTTTTCCAATGCATATTGCCAACAAAAGTGTAGTATGTTATTTTGTCTATTTAATTATTTTTGAATGAAATCGGTATATTAAAATTTAAAAATATATAGAATCAAAGATATTTGTAATTGTTGGAACACGAAGTGTGGGAATCATATAATTCATTTTTTAACTATATAATTATGTATATCAACATATAATTACTATACAAATTATATAATTTTAAATTAATTTAATATTTTTGTAAAAATTAATGATTGTTCGCAATATGAAGATTGGTTAACATTATATCGTACTCATATTATTAAATTATATAAATAAATATAAAAGTAACAAACAATATTGCAAATTGTATAACATTCAATATGTTTTTTATGAGGTTTATAATATCACAGATTAGTTTTATGTAATCCGTGATAATATTATGCAATATACATCGAGGGAATGTCGATTAAAATTGAGGAATTAAGTAAATACCATAGTGCATGATTATTTAAAAAAGAAATTATGAAACATATTAAAAACCCTGAACTCCACTAGATCGTAGAATTGTTGATGTTTCATCTAGAGTGAGCAATTCATCATCATCAGAAATAGGTGTATCTTCAAGTCTACCACTTTGATGAACTTTATGGTATTGTATTTTTATACGCCGCAATAAACCAACTCGATGACGACTTCTATGCATTAATATGTCATCAGTCACCCAAAACATAAGGGCCTATATTTATACAGAAATATTATAGCGGATTTATAACATTAAAATAATAATAAAGTGGAATATAGTTACTTACATTTATAAACAGAGGTATGATAAGCATGACTATAGTTAATTCCGTTCTAGGGTCAGTAAATGGTGACATGATAAATTTTGTGATAACTCGCCAGATGTCTAATGAAATCAACAATGTAATAACAATTTTAACACAACATAAAAGTGACAAGTATAAGCCACATTGAATAAACCAGATTCTAATTGATTCTGGTTTTCCTGAAAAACAAAAAATCAATTATCACTATAGTATTAAATTGTTATACCTAATTATAAAATACATACAGAGAGGAATAAATTTAATAAAACTGACTTAAAAAAAAAATAATAGTACCTATTCTTTAATCTTTATTGTCTTACTCATTAATTAATAATTAGAGATATTAAAGAATCAAATTGGTTAAAAAATATTTTTCATTTTAAAACACCAAGTGATGCATATGCATCTTCTCAATTATACCAGTATAACATAATACCACATACTAAGAATGCATACAATACTTATTAAAATCATACCATATTCTCCAAAGTTAAAAGATTCCCAATTTTTTACTCTTGCTACATGTTGTGAAAATCTTATACCAAAAAATATCAATAAAAGACCAAGTGACGAATCCATTAAAAAATGAATCATATACCTAAACAAATAAAATGAATAATTTAAGTATTCAAATTTGATTTGAAAAATCCTTATTTTTTTTTAGTTTGAATTAGCTAGAATTAGGTAAATAAAATAAAATTACAATTTATAAATTTCTAATTAGTAATTATATAGGTATAATACATAAATAACTATAGACACTCACCATGTGCAAGGATCACCTTGAATTTGACCAGCCAAAACTAAATTTGCTGAATGCATAAGCAAGGACCCCATTCCTTGTTTGGAAGTATCAAAAAACCATACTTTCCAAGGCCGTCGATCATATTTTGGTTCACAAAATCGTTTTACTGATAACAAACATATACATAGGCTTGAAATGTATTATTAATCAAACTATTCACATTTTATACTAAAATACAATAAGTTTGTGGTATTTTTAGATGAAATTGATACAGGTTATTGATATTGAATACACAGAGAAACCTTTAAAGTATTTTAGAAACATGTTGATTATGTAACATCAGGTATAAGTTATATTTATAAAAAGTAAAAAGAAAGTACTTACTATGTAAACATGAATAACAATTAATATTATATATATAATAATAGTATATACTATATATATTAAATTTACAGAAAAAAATTTAATTGAGGAGAAGCCTTCAATTGGAAAATTAATAAAATGTCTCTTGTATTATAATACTAATGTAATTAAAAGTACATCTTACTTATTAAACAGAGGAATGCCAATGTAGCCAAGAGGCCTTGTAGGAACCATCCAAAATTACCGACTAATGCATTCGGTTTGCAATGCACATCTGGTTCATCAAATATGTCAACCATCATGACATATATATTTTAAGCCGTGGTTTTACAATAAATAAACCAGCACTTATGTTTTTATAGTTACTGTTATAAAAGATAAAATATAATAAATTATGGGCGGATAATTGTAAACTACTTGAGTATTATTGGTAATGGAATATAACAATTTGTACATGATTATAATTGATTCATTTTAGAATTTAAGTAAAACTAATTAATTTAATAACTACCGTAATGGAAGAGACTGATATCACTTTAAAAACAAAATCATTGATCCATTCATTTTTAACAACTACAGAAATACGGAATAACTTTTTTTAAATTACTATTACAGAATTGATGGAATAAAAATATGTTAAAAAGTTCAATCACAAATCACAATAAATGTTATCATTACTACGTTATCAACTTTTTCGCGTGTGGATTTTTATTATCTTATTTGTTATCAGCTGAGATAATAAAGATAGATAATAATCATAGATAATACCATAGATTTACGGACTACGATTTAAGATATATCTTAAATCGTGCTACGGACTAAGATAGATCTATCTTAAATTCTTAAATCGGGCATAAAACCAAGGTGGATATTACCTATAACAATATAATATTATTCATACTCGACTAAAACAATAGAAAAAAAAAACAATAGGTTAAGTTAACCAGCCATTCGACCGCGGTTAAACCGTGATTATTGTAGTTAATATTTGGGGTTGTGTAATTTTTGTTTTCGCGGCTTTTTATGGGTTGAGGCATAGATAAGAATAAGTATTAAGTAGTGTTGGTTGTATATCGAAGAATATAAATATATTGCTTGTTTGATGTTAAAAAATTATTTTTACATTTTATTCACTTAACTTTTCTAGATGTTTTGAATTGTACGGGCTTGAAACTATTAATGCTGTAGACATATTTACTACTTTACTAGGTAATTGAACACTTGAACTAAAACATTGTATTACTAACCATGCTATTAACTAATATTATTATTGTTTTTAGAACTAGGCACTATGGACATTTTGAAAGATTCCATTGTAACAGAATATATTTCATCATTAGAAGGATTGAGTCCTGCCCAGAATGAGGTGTCCTCACTCTGTCAGTGCATCTCAGGAAATATACCAAAAGACATTCATTCTGTTATTGCAGTTCCTTACAGTAGTAACCTGGTTGAATTAGCTGCTAACACAGGGGGGCTAAACAATGTAAAACTGATTCTAATGTACATATCAAACACATCTTATTTCAACGGAGATTCAATGAAGTTCTTAGTCAACAAAATGCTAGAAAGCAAACTCGTTGAAACAGTTGAACATTATTATAATGCTCTTGATAAAAACCTTAAAATGCATCCACCATGTGCTCAATATATGGATACCGAGTATGAAAAATTACTGCTCAGCTCAAATAATAATCATTTTGGGGGAAAGACTTTATGGGATTATTTAATAGAAAGCTTGACTAATATGACAGAAGGATCACTTTCACACGGGGTCAATAAGGTGGTTGATTTAGCATTCAAAAGATGTTTCAGTTTATGCATACGTATTTTACAATTTGACTTTGAAGTGTCCAAAAAGAAAAATATTAGATCATTGGTTGCAAAATGCCTAAAGTATAAACTTGAAAGAAGAACAAGAATGAGTGAAATTAGCAAACTTTTGGATAGGTTATTTAATACTGGGTATGATTTTCAAATGCTTGTTATTGATCTTGCTTTACTTGTGAGACAGTTGCAATGAATTAAAAATGTAATTTCTTCATCTTCTACAACTATTGCTTACATTTATGTTGATAAGGTTTTTTGTTTATCATAAACAACAATAAAGATATTGAGTTGCTTTTTGGTATATTAACGTTTGAAGTGCAGTTTATTTGTTTTTTTATTCATTTTATTTATTTATGTGTAAGTAACATTAATTAAAAAAATATATACATTATTAATATTTTAAAAATTGTTATTATTTCTTCTTAAAACTTATTTTAATGTTTGAGATTAGTATAGTTTACTTATACATGCTCCAGAATGTGGCTATACATTTACAAGACTTAAATTAACTTCCTTTAAAAATTATTTCACTTAAAATGATTATGATTAGGTACTAATGATTAAATTACTAATAATATATACAGTTGGTTTTATATAATCAATATTGAGTACTTCCACTATTATAGTAAGAACATTATTGTAACAACAGTGGTACAATACAATATATATATATATATATTATTGTATGACATATTGACAATTGACATCACTCATCTTGTAGAAATTATATCAATTAAAAATAGTAATAATAGATATGAGGGCCTACAAGTCTACTTTCTTTATGAAGTGGTAGTACTTTAACAGGAATGGTTAAATAGTTGATAATAAAATTACAAGTATAAATTAGATGAATATGTGATAACTATGAATGGGATTGTATGTTTATCACTTCAAAAAATTGAAATAGATTTGTTTTTCCTTTCTCTGAAACCATATTATTTTATTATTTGACCATTTACTATTAAGTACATATTTTATAAAATGGTATTTTAGGACTATGTACATTTGGTTTTTTACACGTAAGTAATATAGATAAAAGTGAGATCAGTAACCACTAAGAAAGCAATTACTTGTAGAATTCAAACTATTGCGACTCAATCATTTAAATATACTAAATTATGCAAATTCTAAAATTGTCTCAGTAACATATTATGGTTACATAAGTTGTACTGAATTTTTGATACATTTTAAATGTTAAGGTATGTTCAATGAAAAAAATACATATAAACTATTTATTTTATTTTAAATTAACTTCAATCAGCCAATAACATATTATAATAATGATTACGTACAATTAATTAGTGACTTCTGTTGACTTATTTAAGTTATAAATAAATTAGGTACAAAGTAATTAACTATTCTTGTACATTTAAACATTTCATTAAGGAAAGTTAATATTTTTGTTTATCAACCACCAAAGTAACATAAAAATATAATATTTAAAATAACAATACAATTGGTTACATTGAAAACAACCCATATCTATAAAAAGTTGTATTTGTCTTTATGACAAATGTTATGAGGAAACAAAAGTTTTTGTCTTATAAAACTTCCACACTTTGTGAGTACAGAAAACAACAACTTTTTCAATTTAAAATATCACAAAGAATATATCAAAAATATTATATATTTTAGTGCATTAAGTGTAAATAAAAATCATATACTTTATTTTTATAACACAATAATGTTAATATAAAAATATAACGATCAAAAAATTAATCAGTTTTTGTTTTTAATTCTTCAGAAGTCGATTCAGGTACTTCAACATCTTCATCAAATCTACTTTGATCAACGGGATACAACCTAATATAATATATAATTAGTTAAAGTTTGAGTTCATTTTAACTTTCATAATAATATTATTTACCATCTTTGATATATATAAATGAGGAAAACTATATCATCCCTGAAACAGGCTAATCGATGGGCAGTTGGCATTGGAATGATAAATGCAAACAAGTCATCAATGAAAGTGTTGAATGCCTGAATAACATAATAATTTAAAATAAATTGAGTATACTCAGAGTTTCTAAAAACTCACCTTATACATAAATGTTTTCCAAGGAAGATTAGCAACTGATTTAAGTCTATAGTTGATAAAAAGTTGAGGTAACATGAAAAGAAAACCAAATGCATAGACTCCATTGACTAGACTTTTGATACTCCAAGAATACCAGCTAAATATTTATTTAGATTAACACATTTCAGTTATTATATACAAATAAAATGCGGGAGGATCAAACCTTTTTTGTGGTTCATATATAAGTGAATAAATAGCAGCACCAGCACATAATGGGTACAAAACATACGACAGATATTTCATAGATTCAGCATCAAACTTTTTAGTATCTTCCTCAGCACGATTTAAGGTTAATTGTTTGAGTTTTAGATTTTTCCAATCTATTGGTATGATTTTAAACACTTTCCAAATCTAAATAATAATAAAACATTTTTTTTTATTTATATACATTGTGATTTACTGAGCATGCTCATCCCCATTTTTCATTTAATAATAAATGTATTCAAATTTTGATTTTTAGAATTTTAAAATACACTTGAATAAGGACCTTATTTAAAAATTCTGTATTTTTTTTGAACTACCTAAAATTAAGTCGCGACCATATGTGTTGTCTTCGTCTTACACAAATATGACATATCATATTTTTGTTCACTAGTTTCAATAATGTGCTGTTAGTTTTGATATTAGAGTGAATTGACCTATTATCAAACTTTCAAGTAACAACATTACTTGTATTATCTTGTTGGTTTTACACAATATTTTAATAAATTATGACCATTTTCAAATATTAATACTTTACATACTTATAACTCACTTAAAAATTTAATAAACGGAAATTGGGTATGTTGTATGAGTGTAAGACGGAGACAACACATGCGTGTGACACATACGTTAAGGTGTGTTCTGCGGGGATACAAATTCCTGTCTATTAAATGAAAAACCCCTTATTATTTTAATGTAAATAATTAAGTAGATAATTTTTTGAAAATGTTGATGTAGGTACCTAATTTAAAATTTGTATGAGGCGTTTTTCAATTATTAAAATGTTTCTACTAAGGATAAGTAGATTTAAGTTGTACTTAAAAATATAAGTACTGACAGATTAATATTTGAATTACTAAATTGTTTAGATCACCAAAGAATTCATAACCTTTATTTCTTACAACCCTATTGTTTTTAGTACTCAAAGTAAAATTACTCAAAATAAACTAGTTCAAACTGTTTTCGTTGAAGCCTGTCAAGAAAGTATTCATCTGCCTCTCAGGATTTTAGTTTATGCCCGCCTCTCATATTTTTTTCGTTTTTCAATGTTCTAATCATTTGTTTTAAAAAGTTTATAATTAGTTTTACTTGTCACGTTAAGTTAATTTTTTCCTAATAATGAAGATTTAAAATATATTCTATTTTGTAAAAATTTATTTCATATAAAAAAAAAAATTATTATAAATATAATTTGTAATAATTTTTATAATATTGAATATTGACAGAATATATTATATTATTAACAAAAAAGTTATAACTGCGTTATTCAAAAAATGAATACATAATTATATACTTAGCATTCCATACATACTTGTATACTCATTAATCATTATTAATTAATAGTTATTACGTTATTAAGTAGGTACTTATTATTATGTTTTTATTCATTCATAATATTTGATATTATGTGTAGGTAATTATTGTATTGTAATAATGAATTTGATTATTATAATTTAGTTGTGTACTATTAGGTAAAAAAATGCCTATAATTAATTAAATTATTTTGTTAGGATTTGTCATTGATTAAACTATTAAAGTATTTTTGTCTTTATTTTTTTAGTTATAAAAATATAAACCAGTGGTTTTCAACCTGTGTCATGGCTCCCAGGGGCATCGTCGGTTATTATCAAGGGAGCCGTAGAAACCAAAAATTAAGTTGTAATATTATATTAAATATGATTTTAGTTATCTTTCTTTTTGAGGCTGTATTAAGTTCGCACACCAATACATGCTGTGCCTGTGTGTGTGTGAGACAGATCAGTCAGAAATAACTGTGAATCAGGTCTATTTATGTGTTAGCAATATCCAGTAAGGGCATACTTCAATTAATATTTACAAGTACTTAATGATTTGCCCCTAATATATCAGTTGTAAAATACACAACACTTTGTATGGGAGCAGTATATTTTATTTTAAAATCAAAAGGACCCTTGGACCTAGAAAGGTTGACAGCCACTGGTATAAACTATAACGTATAATTACATATTAGGACATTGAAAATACAAGTGGCGGGCATCAACTAAACCTGAGTGGCAGAGAAATAGAGAATACTTTCTTGGCCGGTGTCGACTATACTAGTACCTAAAAATTTTTTTTTTTAATTTTTAGTGTATTACATTAGATTAATTACTTAGTTTTTAAATATACAATTACCCCCCTTTGGTCATATGGTATCCAAATCTGGGGCCAAGCCAAACCATCCAATATAAGACCCTTACAAGCATTTCAGTCCATATGTCTTAGACAAATAACTGGAGCCCCCTGGTATATGACTAACAACGCACTACATAAGGATCTACAAATCTCAGCTGTCAATGAATTAGCAACTCGTCACTACTAAAAGTTTTACTCCAAACCACACCTAAACCCTCTTATTTCTCGCATGTCCTCTTTAACCATCTCCAGCAACCCTCTTAGAAGGTTAAAAAGAAGATGGCCAAGAGACGCCCTTGCCTAGCATAATAGAAAAAAAAAAACGGTCTCCATTGAGAACCCATCATTATTAGGAGGTACTGTTGATGGACAGGTTTCCCCCCTCAAGTCATTCAAGTCATGTATTATACTACCTTATTATCAAATTTACTTATTGTACTTGTTGTATAGATTGTAAATATTGCATTAAAAAAAAAAAAAAAAAAAAATATACAAATGTTACTAAAATTAATGAAATGCCTTATAATTTTTACCTCTATTACAGAACTGATTACACTTGGTACAATGATCAACATTGAAGCTTTCTCCTCAAACAAATAAAGTAATACAACAGTTTGACTAAAAGCGCGCCATAAAACTAGTCGTGATGATAAGCCAGCCATAGATTTTCGTGATCGCCAAAATGATATGTCATTTTTAAAGGCTAAGAAATCAAATAATATCTAAGAACAAAAAATAATAATAAGTTGTAATTTCATAGAAATCAATAAATAATGTATAATTTTTATCTCACGTGAACAAAAGCAACAATGATTGAAATTAATAACAAATAATGATTGGTATCAAAAATAGCTTTAATTTCATCAATATCTTTATTTTTGAATCCAAATTGTTGCAACGTTACCATAGCTAATTGAGTTTGTGTTAGTATTCTAAAAGAAAAATATTAAATTAAAAAATAAATAAAACATAGATTGGCAATATTATAATGAACTTTAAACCATTTACAATATAATTATTAATTATGTACAGAATGTTAATATGTGGTGATCTGTATTATTATTTATTTATAAATGTTTGTTACTGATTTTAAATAACTAAAACCGAGTTAATCAAGCAACATTAATCAAGTGAAAATATATTACGATTTACATTTAAATAACTAAATTCATTATATTTTTAAATAAAAATCAAAAAGTCAATGAAGGGAAAAAGTATTGAAAATTATGTTACACATATATCTTTACATTACCTTAGTCCAGTGTAACTTAAAGGTTCATAACGCAACAAAATAGGTACATGTGTAGTATTTTTGTCGATTTTGGTAATATTGAAGGATCTATCTTGAAGAGTGTTATGTAGGAATATCGGTAAATACTCCTGTTTTTTTTTATATAGTCTGAAATAATTATTTTAAATATAAAATTTATAATTAGATAATTAAGGCTCTCCTTTTCATTTAGTAATTTAAAAATAAAAACTTATTCAATTACATACTACTTTTACCTTATATATTGATAAATATCACTAGGCATATGAATCTGAGAAAAATGTAAAGGTTCTTTTAACATGCTAACAGGTAATACAGCCTTTATATGTGTCACTGGTTTTTTGACATTCTTTTTTATATCTTCCTCATCTTGTAGTAATTGAAAAATTTTATATTCAGGTTCTTTGTAAATAGACATTGGTACTAAGGTATATACAGTCTCCGGATCAGTTAATAATTTGGTCCATTTATCCCCAGAATATAGTGTTTCTTGAGCTTTACTTAAGAATACATGTGCATATAATGTTCCATTTTGTTTGGTTAGTCTTGGAAGTTCTACAGCCATCAATCTGAAATAAAAACAAAAAAGTTAGTCATATTTGTTTAAAACGAGTAGTTTGTATTGTATAATTAACTATACCTTTCATAAGACTCATTATAATTTGGTAACAGGAATTTGTTTACAAATATAACTTCTGGTCCTCGAGGGTTTGAATGCGGAGCAACAAATATGGTAAGCTAAGAAATGATTACAATAAGAATAATAAAATGTAAGATTAGAAATATTTATAAAAAAAAAACATACTTCTAAGTTTGGTTTTCGTAACAGAAATGATTTCAAACACAGACCTTCACTAGTACATGATGGTGGTTGTACCATTACCCATATTGAGTAAAAGAGATTACCCAAGTATGATAAAAATAAAACAGTCACAATTGTAGTAAACCTCGGTATCATTATGATGACTTCTGAAAAAAAAAATGTAGGTAATACTATAGATAAATAATGTAGTTTTTGTATAGAATTATATTTACACTCGTAGTTATTAAGATTTATGGTAACACATTTTTTAATTATGCACATATTAAAAAAAAAAATAAGTGAAATTTTGTATTTTTATTGAATTTATAATACAAATGTAGTTTATAGATTGACTATTCAATCACAACAGACATTATTTGAATTATATATTATAATAATATACATGTAGGTACATTTAATTATTTAAATAAACTTTAAATTGTCTAGTTCACATACATCATCATTAATAAAGTTATCAAACAATAGAGCATGTAAAAATAATTCAATTAAATGAAAAAAAAAAAATGTAATGGTCAATTTTATGTTTAAAAATTGATTATTAGGGTGAACCAAGGTACTTTTAAAATTTAAAAATATTTCATTAAAGTATTTTCTTACTGGTTTTTGAATTGTTAAAAATATACCTATAATAATTACTAATTAATATAATTTTTAACTTACCTACTTAAGACATAATAAGTAAGATATACTTACAAATAAAATTTTGTTTTATTTCTTAAACTTCATGTGTATATGTGTGTACCTAAAATTGTACCTATTTTAAATTAGTTTAGTTGTTTTGTACACACAATTTAATGTCTACAATACCCAATCAAACATTTACTCAGTTCAATAATTGTACATGTACAAGTTAAATTTCTGGTTTCAATTTGTGTATTTCAGATTTTATTTAATACTAATGTACACACAAAGATTATAATTTCACTTCGTGAATTGTGGAAACTGGAAACCCAATTGTCAATTTGGCAATTTTCTTAACATTACAAAATGTATACACATTTATTATCACTAATCCTTATACCTTCTTATCTGTTATCAAATGTATATACCGGTATCATAGAGTAATACTCTATGACCGGTATCGCTCACGCTCATTTCTATCAACTGATAAGGGGGATCAATTGAATCAATCCAAATAAATTCATTTCAAATCACATATTCACATAAAGTAAGACCTTGGATTCAAGATTCAAGAACGCCAAAAAGTGATGCTCCATTTCCAGATTGTCCTTTAATAATTGTTGTTTTTTGTTATTGTTTCTAACTATTAAGTTTTATCAATACTTTTCTCGATAAATAATAAAATATAAAATGAATGATTAAGCCAAATAAATTAATGGCAAATTATAAGACAGTAATTATTGTGAGTTGAGTTAATAATATTTCTGTGGGTATTGCAGTATCCTAGGAGAAAAAGTTCATTAAATAAGCTTAACTGCTTGATAGTTTTAAATTGTTATTAAAACTAACATGGCGAGTCCATCAGAGAAGACCTCAACAAGAGTTCCAAAAATGGTTGTTTTTGATTTAGGTATGCTGCTTTATATTTTTTACATAACTTTAAGGATATATCTATTTCAAGTAATATTTGAAAATTTTAATATAATAAAAATTGTATAATCCTAAGTACTTTAATATCTAATTGAAATATGTACCTCTGAGGAAAACTGGGCAAGTTAACCATTTTTATATCTAGTTAAAGTTAAGTTATCCTAAAATAAAAAATAACTAAGCAAAGATAAAGTTAATTTTATAAAATAAACAAATTTGAGTAAATAAGTTAGTTACCATTTTTCATGAAAATAATAACTAAGCTAGAAAAGTTAGGTTTTAAAATTACCTTCAACTTACTCATAAACATTTTTTATCTCGTCGTAGGAAAATCACTAGTTTTGGTATAAAGTAAAAACAATAACAAATGCACAGACTAGGTACCTATGTGATTTTATAAAATAAACAACTGTTATTGTAATATTGTAAATATTTTTAAATTTATGGTAAATATTATGTGTCATAAATTGTAACAAAGAATGTCCGTATTAGATATTACTAATTACTTCCGTTCTGGAAATTGTATTATTACCTATGAAGCAACAGTATGCTTCCGAATTCCTAAACTTTTTAATTATACATCAAATTAGTACCTAATAAATAAATATATAAATAATAATAATTTACTATTCACTATAATACTAGGTAGGTACTATATGTGTATACTACTACACGTCTATAATATAGTAATAAATAATAATATACCTACAATCGGCAGTAGATATCCTTCCATCCTGGTAGTTCTCAGAAATATCATTGCAAATAATATAGGTACAGTTCATAATAGCAAAACTCATAAATAATTTTTTACAAATTACTTGAGTTTTAACAAAATAACTAAGTTAAGTTACAATCATTTATAAAAAGAAATAAATTAGTTACCTACTGAGTTATTTTATTTTATTTTTTAACTAGTTAAGTTAAAAGTTATCAAAAAAAGTAACTTTTAACTTTTTAGTTAGTTATTGCCCAGATTTTCCTCTGAGAATATCTTTTAAAAAACATACGTTTTCTTTTAATTGATATAGAATAGTAGTAATTCAGGAATTAAATAATTTCTCTAATCTATTTAATAGATTTAAATAATAATGATATTTATCTACTACCTATAGATTATACATTGTGGCCATTTTGGGTTGACACTCATGTGAATCCCCCTTTTCATAAAAGTAGGTAAGTTAATAGTTTTATTATATTGGTTTTATGTACAGCTATAAATATTGTTGCTTTTTTTTTAGTGATGGGAAAGTGGTAGATTTTAGAGGATGTGTAGTTAAACATTATCCAGATACACCAAAAGTCTTGAAATATCTTCAGGACAAAAATATTGGCATTAGTGTGGCTTCAAGAACTGGGGAAACTGATGGAGCTGAGCAACTCATACAATTATTTGGTTGGAATAAATATTTTCAAAACAAACAAATTTATCCTGGTACCAAAGACAAACATATAAATAAGTGAGTTCTGAGTAACAAATATTATCATTATATTTCATCAACGCTATAACTAATGTTTAATTTTATTAATTAGGATTAGCAAAAAATGTAATATCAAACTGGAGGAAATGATTTTTTTTGATGATGAACAACGGAACATTAATGATTTAGAACGTTTAGGAGTAGTGTCAATATTAGTAAAAAATGGGATGACAATGCCAGTTTTACTAAATGGTTTGAAAAGATTTTCGGATGTAAGATCAAATGCATGAATTATAGAATTATTGTTATAAGTATTATAACCATGCATTAAATACTTCATAGATTTTTATAATGTTTGAAACAGAACTTTTATTATTGTGTTTATACAATTTTTTTTAATCATACTGACATATTATTATGATGTATTGCATTATTAAACGTCACCATTTTATCTTAATTTAATTATTTATAAGTATTTAATATCTGAAGCCCGTTTGGTCCTTCCTACAATATCCAGCTAGAGGACTCAGCCAAAATGTCTAATACCAACTATATTCAAAGATTCCAATCTAAAGTCCTCAACCTCAACCTAACCCATCTAATAAGCTCCATTTTACATTTTCAATAATACTCTTCATGCAGGCTTCAAAATACCCACTGTTACTGAAGTCTGAACTGATTTTGTTTAAAATATTGGAATTTGGGAGTCCAATTTTTATAATAATAGGATAAATATTGGTTATTAAAAGAACATAGTGGTATTTTTTATATTTATTATTATTATGTGTTTACATAATGTTTTTAATAATGTACCTATTAGATATTACGATTTTCATTCATTAACATTTCAGAATATTACTTAAATACTATGACTGTGGGTAGATGCATTGTTAGAAAGTTGTCAAGGTTTCTAATTTCAATACAATTATCTTTGGGTTGCTCCTAAATACTTTCCAAATACTTGTTTTTTACTCTAATATACATTTTTTGTTTAATTTTTAACTTTACATGGTTATAAAAAAATTGTGCTTATGTATTTTAAATAAGTTTAATTGCTGTTGAGTGTTGTGACAATATATCAGAGGCCTTGTAGGTATTAAATTTTCAAGATTTTCAGAAACTATTTAAATTGAACATTTTAAGTTGAAAATACCTGTCAAGGTGTCAACATCTCAAACTGAGTCATAGAATTTTATCAAGTAGGTATGCAAAATGATAAAATACACATATGGTGTACATTTCAAGTATCTACTGCAATTCGTTTTTGAATTAGAAATCGCTAAAAAAAAAAAACGAGCATCATAGTAAAATTAATGTATTCATGATTGATGATTCTAATTCCTTTGATTTACATTCTAAAATGTGATAAGTATTATACACGTAGTATACGACTTCACGAGTAAATAAATTATACGGAAAAAAATTTGTTTAAATATTGATTAGAACAAAAGTTATTTAATTTGTCTGGTTATTACATTCTGTGTAATTATAATAACACAATACAATTTAGGCTCCTGCACTCATACCAAATAAGAGTTCCGAGATATAAGAAAACATTTTTATTATTTATTTCATTAATTTTATTAAAACGATGTGAACATTGACTGTCGAAGAATTGGGTGTTGGTATACTAGCTGGGAGTCTGTGAACTGGAAAATCATCGGCGAGGAGGTCGTATCTAGTCCGTCGATACCTAATAAGTAATAAGTAATAACTAATGAGTAGGTAGGTACTTATAATAACAAAATGTTCAATATATTAATTTAACTAAGTTTATTTACATATTGTGGTAAATATTTTACATTAATTTACGGTAGTACATTCAATGTGATAAATTCATTAACAACATGTCAACACAATAATTATATACCTCATAGAGAATAATATAATATGATTATTATTAATTTGCGTAAATATAGTCTTAACTCGTATTATAACATTGTAAACAGTTGGAGGTTGAGCGATGACAGGAGGTATTATTTACAAAAAAATTAAAATATAATATAATATAGGTTAAACCGTTAAACAATTGTTTAATGGTATAGGTACATCGTAACTAATAACGTACTTTTAAAGAACGTTACAAGCCTTTGTATAGGTACCTATTGAAATTACTACATAAATGTATTGATACATAAATAAATAATACATATGAGTACAAAGTACAATATTTTTTATATGTGTTGAAAGTTATTTGTCATAGGTCGTTGGGTTATTTTTTATTTATCTGTTGTCCTCGATTCAGGCATATTAATACCATTAAAATGGTATGTATCTATAGGTAGGGGTCTCCCACTACCTACTTATTTCCTTTGACCAAATTCATCAACAGAATCGGTGTGGGTACTCAGGTACATATGTTTATGTAATATGTTTTAAATAGGATTACCTCTCGTTAACATACCGGTAGTTTTGTATCGTATTTTAGTGGGATACTATGAGTAGGAAGAATGCAAATGAAAAATGTATACCTACACAATACACATAAATACATAATACAAATAATACAATGTTAGGTTTTTAGGTAATATACTAGTATGAGTAGTATATGATGCGTATTATAGTCTAAATGATATAGGCCAACCTCCGAGAATTTGTTTACTTTAATATGAATACAATATAACAGTTCAGTAATTCATCATCATTAATATTGGTATTAACAAAACGAAATTGATGTATCGTATTATGTTTGAAGATGATCTAGGTAAACGGTGAGATTGATCTTTGAGTGCTGGTGAATTGCTTGAAGAATTGCGTCCCGTGTTTCTATTTTCATAATCATCTTCTTCGGAATCAAACGTATTTATAGCATTATCGTCGTCATCTTCACTAGGTGTTCTGGGCTTCGATAAATCCATTTCTGTTGATAAATATAGTGTTATTGAAAAAAATTGTTTATATTTTTTGTAAGACACTTAAAAGCTGTCCTAAAAAGTTTATAAGGTTCGGATATGACTGTATAGAGGACATATTTTAAACTTCCTTTATCATTTTAGGGAAAATTAAAAAAAAAAGTTAAAACGAAAATACCTATAGGTTGTTTAAATTATTGATCATGTTTGAATAATAATTTAGAAACTGAGCTTTAATTACAGTCAATTTTTAATTTAATGGCTTATAATTTCTTTAACTTAAATGTTTTTATACATATTTTATATATATCAAAATTTGTGAATTGTGGCTCCCGTTCTATAATTTTTATTTTAGATTTTGAGAAGGTAGGTAAGAGAAGACTGTATTTGATCAACAATTAAGAATAAAATAATTTGTCTATTCTAATTAAAAAAATAAATATTAATTGACTTACCATATACTCTAATATTTCCTTCGGCTTCTCCAATTGAATTTTTCGATATGCATTTGTATCCTCCTAAATCTGTCTTTTTGAGTTTTCTTATTGTCAGTTTCATCTGAGCACTGTAATACGAAACTGTTAATTCTGTCATATTGTACTTGTCATTTGAAATTATCATCTCTCCTAAAATAATACATTAAACAATTAAAAATTAAAAAAATTAAATTAATTATATTGATTCAATATCTGTTTTTAATTTGTATGGTTATTTAATTTTCTGTTTGGCGTTATAAAACAATTTCAATTTAGTATGTTCACTAACACATGTTTTCTTAATCATGTTTAACTGTACCATTTTTATTCCACCAATGAAGTTCAGTGAACCCTCTAAATAGTCTAAATAGGTACCTACCCGATATTCTTGGTTACTGAAATGTTGTCTGATTTTTTGGGTGGTGTCTGTTATTCAGAGAGTTCAGTCGGTAGACAGTTTTTAGTTCGTTCTCAAAAAAAAAACTTCTGCTATTTGGAGGTTCTGCGATTTAGTAGTATCCATTAGAGGAGGGGTAGGAGGGGGGGTTACACAAGGGATTAAATGACCTTTTTTTCGATGTTTAAGATCTGATAACCAAAAATTATATTTTAAATAATCAATTAGTGCATGTTAAAAAATCAGCCATATCCCCCCTCTCCTTTAAAAATATCATTTGGCCGTCACTGAAACCGAAGAACTGCTGTATAGTAATTTTCAAATGTAGATACCTACCTCATTATCATTGAGTTGGTCACTTTAATTTAATTTGAATTCAATGATAAACCTTGTACACCTACGAAAAACGATTCTGAGTGGAGTTTTTATTTCTAAGGATAGTTTAGGCCTATAATCGACGTAACCATAAAAAATCTGTTAAATGTAAACTTAAGGGTAAAATTGTATTTCTTTAATGCTGTACCATGTCGTGTTGTACTTGTGTATACATTTATCATGTAACAGTAATAATTATACCTAGTTAGTTAGATTTGGATTATTCAGATGAGATTTGTTTCGGTTATCGAGAATAGTATGGTAATTTTTTATTTTCGGTGTTTATGTATCTAATTAAACATCAACTCTGGTGTTTTGTCAAGTGCCAATGTATATTAGGTACCTTTTATGTGTTTCGATTATGATTGCTATGAATCTAACTCTGAACGCCCGTTGTTTAATTAAATATTTAAAATTACTACTTATTATAGCATAATTATATTTAACTAAGTTATTTTTAATATTTATTAATTTTTAAAACATTTTTATTATTCATTAATTTATAAATATGTATCTTGAGAGTACCTAGCTACACTCCATTATGAATCTTTCAGACAAAATTCGAGAATCAAAAATATAATACAATGTGTGTACTGTGTACTGTGTAGCTAATTGTAATACATTTTGGTGAATTTTTATGCTGTTGTTATTGATTTCCTGCAAAAATTGAATTGATTTATTAGTATTTGTTTGTGCTCGTCTGTATAAAGTTCGTAATCTGAAATCCCTAGTTACTAATTATGTTTGATAGCTATATGGACGTTCGAATTATATTATGTAATGACTACCTACTGATTTCAATCAAAGTTCTGGGATTATAATAATAAATATTATTATTTATTGTTTTTTTTTTTTTTTCTTTTATGTTAACCTTTTTCAAAATGTCAAATATTATTTTCCTTTAGCCTTAAGTTTAGATGACCAATTGTCAGGAAAACTTTATAAATAATAAAAAAAAAAAATTATTTATTGGATAGTATTACGGACATTTTCAATTCGACATTACTAGTTTATAATATACACACACAACTGTCTAAAGTTTAAGTTTAGAAAGGACTAGGTACTTTAGTTATTACTTTTGTATATTAAATTCAACTCTATCAGTTATAAATATATTATGATATACCTATTAATGAATATAATATGATATTATGTAATTCTTATTTACATTTGTAATTGAATTAATTATAACCAAGTGTGCGTAGATCATTATTATTATTAATTTATTATGCATTTTCATGTGTATCATATTATGTCCTCGTAAGTAAGATGTTATGTTTTGAATAATGCGAATTTTTATAGATTAAAATTATAATACCTACATGTACCTTTATTTTCAATTTAGATTCTTAATTTTTACAACTCTAGTTTTATTTTAGCTTTTAATTGTAAAATTATTAATATATTAATGTATAAACATGAACCATTTTCATTTAAAAATTGTTAAATATTTTATTTTTATTAGTACCTATCATAATTATTAAGCTGAGTGTTAGTTAATCATTTCCATATCAGTTCTTCTAGTAGATAGTAGATAGGATAAATGTACCTATTGATTTTACAATGAAGTGTTTATTTTTTGTGTCTATCATAATTTTTTTGAAGCATCGATATGCTTCGATTTTAAACTTTAAACTAAGACATTCATATAATATATCATATATGTAGGGAAAAAATGACATTAATGATTATAATATTTTTACAATTGGTAGTACAATTATTTATAATTAAGAATTTAACATGACGTGTTAAAGGGGGAGGGGGGTGTCTTATCTCCCAAACACCTTCCTTGAACAAGCCACTGCCCAGTGCCCACTGTATACAATTACCCTGTGTACATTACGTGTATTGTTCAATCCTAAGTAAACAAATGAAAACTTAAATAACAATAGTGTATCATGATACGTATATATTCCATCAAAGTCAATACGTATGGAGTGTGTGATATATATGAATTAATAATATTTAAATCCAGTTATTAAACTGGACCACTTTATTAAAGTTTTCCCACTATAGGATCTGCGGACTGATTCCGTAAAAAAAACTTAAATCAAAAGTATTTATACCTGCCTATATATTATATTAAATATCTATAGCTTATTACTTTTGTTTCTATATTATTAGGTATGTAATATTATGTTGCATACGTTTGACTTTAGAGTACGTACATTTTTATGTTCTGTATATTTGATTACTATTAATTTTTCTACCGCTACTCCATTCATTTCTTCTAAATTATTTGACGAACATAATATTCTGCTGCTGTAGTATAATACTTGTACCACACGCATTTCGATAAATTAGACTCTCGCGGATCGTAAAACGGTTACTAAACAGTAAACGGTATTGTTGTAGAACACGAAGGGATCCTATTTTTTTGTTTGTTTTGAAAGCGTTAACTTTTTAAACATTAATTTGCCGAGCCTGTTGGCCCACACACCCACATACACACATAGACACACACACAAGTATAGAGTGGATTTTAATTGAATTGCATATACGTATACAGGAGATACCTCTATGCGTTTATATAAAATACCACGATAATGACCCGTAGGCATTTGAGCCCCGAAGGGACGCGGTGCATGTACACACCACTATATATAGCTATACAAAACAATGATATAATGTAATACGGGAACACAACACTACCGCCGACGGGGTAAAAGAAAAATATATATATCGTATAAATATTCATACTTTGGAGAGTCGTCGTCGTCATTACGTGGACATTGTACTCCACTACTACTACTACTACTACTACTACTACTACTACTACTACTAATACTATAACTGCTACGTATATAGGTACTATGCACCGCCGCACACTATGCGAGGAACGACGACCGGCGATCGCGAGTAAAAGTTGCAAGTGATCGGGGACGGGGGCGGAGGAGGAATTGCTGCAGGTTGGTAGGGGATAAACATCGTGCGCGGGGTGCTTTTAACCCTTCCAACCCGACACTCACCCACTCACCCACACCCACACATACACACATACACACACACACACACACACACACACACCGGTTTCTGGCGCTATGGCGGTGGGTATACATCATGATGGTGTTGGTGTATACTGTATACGCACGGTATACATAATATAATACCTATATAATATATATTATATATATGTACAACACACACACACACACACACACACAAACACACACACACACACACACACACATAGACGCTACACACAGTGACTCAGTGTACCGGATAGAATTATTTGAAAAATATGTAAATTACATTTATTAGCATGGCTTTGAATAAAGTGTACACACCGTCGCGGTGGTGGTCGGAGCTTTTTAAAGGCATCGCGTGGTGGTGTGGCGAGGGTGCACGGTGAGCAGACGGGGGATGAGAGGGCACCGAGAGCAGTACAAAATTGGCCGGGGTCGTAGATTTTGCAACGCCATCAACCGGCGGCTGTGGCGGTGGTGGTAGCGTAGCCTTTGAACCAATACAATTATATTGTCAACCTAGCCGCTTCCCTTTCACACCCCCACCGCCATCACCGCACACACACACAAACACACACACACACACACACACACACACACACACACAAACACACACAAACTAACAACGTCCTCACCTTAACCATCCCTCTCATAATATTATATTGCATTTGGCCTTTGTGTTCTCTTTTGTGTCGTCACATTACAAAAAAGGCTAGTAATATTTTTTTATTCGGACGTTAATTTTTTTTTGTTTGTATGGATTATGTATTACATGTGGTGGCGCCTAATGTATCATTGCAATTCATTTAAATTTTAAACTACTTATTATAATCTATATCATAATATTATAATTTAATTTAGACCAGTGCAGGTCTTCAACTGGTGGTACGTTGCTTGAGCTGCAGAGATGGGTTACGATATACTTTTAGTACATACCTAATTAAAGTATATATCTATTATAGGTACCTAGGAAACAAATATAAAATTAACATAATAATACTACTAAATTATTCAAAACATTTTCTGTTGTTGCACGAATAAACCATTATTTAACAATTAGCTTTTTTAAAAAAAAATACAATTGGTCACAAAAAATAAATAGTAATACTAAAATGAGGAAATGAGTTAAATAAGGTCGAGGACTACCGATTTAGATGACCAAAAATTGTTATTGTCGTCATATTTATACTTGGCGCGAAATAGTTGATCAAAATATGATATTTTCAATATAATTCACTGATATATTAACTATATGTGTTTGTGTAGAGTGTTCTAAAGTCTAAATGTATAATCAGAGACTTAAATATGATTTTGAATACATCCATTTAACAGTAAATTGAGTTGAGTTTGGCTTAAAATGGTTTTCTAATGAGATGTTTTATCATTGTGTGCAAATTTACAATAAATGTATTCAAAATAAATAGGAGATTTAATTTTATAAAATGTTTCAAGTTTTTTTTATTTGTTTATAATAATTATAAACTCTTATATATTTACCCGATTCTCTTGTCCAATAATTGATTGACTTTGGTGACGCTTCGACATAGCATTGAAGTGTGATGTCTGTTTTCTGAGGTGCTCCCACTAGTTGATTTGGTACTTGAACCAACGGATGAACTGCAATGAAAAAGTATATTTAAGTTTCTGTATTTTACGATTTATAAAAAGATACTTAAGCGGAGTGGGTTTATATAATAAATTCATTGAATTCCTACCTCCCATCAATCTAGAATATTTATATTGCTACATTTCACTCGCTAGCACTCGCTGAACTGTTTTATAGGAATTTCATTTCCGACAAATATGTAAAAGCAAACTTATTTTGTTTTATCGAAAAGTTATTTTAGGCTATCTTAAAAATTTAGTTACAACCTACAATGTTAATTTGCCAAATTGGAGCTACCAACTTTTTGATAAATATTGCATTTTGTTTCAAAATAATATTCATTCCCACCCTTTCATTCGTTTCTTCTTTTCGTTAGGGTTACAGAGAAATTGAAAAGTAACTAATTTTGTCGGCTTTCAGATGAAGTAAGTTTTTAATTAAAAACTGAAAGTTTCCGTGAGACCAGATTACAAAATCGATTTCCATTACTTATGCAAGTGTCCCCTTGGCATCTGTCCGGTGTTAGTGATACTTGGTTAAATATTTGAATATTTTATGAAAACTTTGTTTCTTTTTTGGTTTTACATTAATTATATTGACCTTTATCACGGAGATCTAAAAACCGAATTGGCATAAGTTATGTTAAATTTATTTCATGGTTGGATTTTTTTTATAAAATATTTGAAATAAGAGGTGACAGTTTAAAATTTACATTCATTGTCTTATTGTAAAATTGTTGTGTTAAAAATTATAATAGAAAAATATTGTTCTTACAAGGGATGATAGATGATTTAATGTTTATTTTATTCTAAGAACAGATATACAATGTGATCGAATTGGGAATCACTAAGTAGTTGAGCTCAATCAAACATTCTAAATACTGTGTTCCAACTGCAAAATTATCTAACATAGATTTGTGGGGGCCTCTGTACCCCCACCATTCCTACATTTTGAATGCTACGTTTTTGCCTAGTTATATCATTTTAGCTTTATTATATTCCAAGTATAATATATTTAACTGTGTAACATGTAAGAAACATGGATTTATATTTTATATTCACCTTATTTTTTGAAATTTTTCGCAATAAAATTTCATACATTCAGACATTCAGTCACTTAAAAAAGTCATTTTTTAATATTATTATTATTCCCAATTAAAAAGCAACAATATCAACATATTTCAGTTGTAAATAAGAAAATTATAACTATCAATATTGGTAACATCTTAATAAATAATTTGTGGTTCAGACGCATACCTATGTTGTCAGTTGTTAACACTAGTCCACTGCAGATATATTTTGATAATACAATAGTTTATTGTGCATATCTGTGCACTACTATACTAAGCAAGGAGCTTGGTATAGTATAAATAAGCTATAATAAGAAAATAGCAATGTATTATGTAAGTACCCCCCCCCTTCGATCAAGAAAAAAAAATACTAAAAAAAAAAAAAAATATAAAAATAGTAGAGGAGCTCCTTTCCTCTGTGCACTATTCATTCCCACCAATTCGAGCACTGGAAAAACTTATTTTTTTTAGCTTTACATAATATTAATACAGAAGAATTTGTTTACTTCGATATTTAAATTGAGTTCACTGACAAATTTAGGAAACATACAATATTAATTAAGTCTTCAACGGTTTTAGTATCTATATAATAAACATATTCTTGTTTATGAACAAAATAATATGTTGGATTAAGATTTTAAAGGAAAACATTTACTTTAAAATTTGTATACCTAGTTATAATTAACTTTCTTAAGCGAATAGTATATTTTATAAGAACATATTTTTATTATTATAATATTTTTGTTTTTTGTTTTTTAATGTTTAAAATGTATTGCATATTTTTGACATCAACAACGATTTTAGGTTATAACCAATATGATCGTACAATTATTTTATTTACCCTGTAAAATATATGGATTACATTAGGTTAGCTGGCATAATTCAATATACTATCTTACTTATTATTAATCATATTTTTATGAAACAAATAGTTTTAGATTGTACACCTCATTTAATTTTCTTTGTAAAAAATTCGTAAATGGATGTGCAGTCTATTAATAATGATGCTTAGTTTTTAGTTTCACAGGTTGATAATGGAAAATAATATACTTTAATAACTGAAATGCTGGTAGAAAATATGAGCAGTATGTACAAACAAAAAACACAATTGTTCCTACAATAAATCATATATAAAATTCCGTTTATTTAAGAAAAAAATGTTCTCATGCTTTATATTTGAATATTATAATAATATAAATATTGTTTTGCTGACCAATTTCTACACACAAATGTAAATTCTTATTCGTTTGGTGTTTTTGAAGTTTTCCTAAAAATATTTTAAATAAACATGCGAAATAAAGTATTTAGGTATGCTGAAAAGGTACCAAGATATTTATGCATAAGGATAGTATGATTAAACAACTTCCAAAGTAATTAGAATTCATGGAAAGGTTACTTCAATACATAGAGAAGCACCAAATAAAGTTGTTAGTGAATAATCTAATTTATTTATAATTTGATAATAACACGTTAACTAAATGTATTATTTAATCACAAATATAAGATGATTAGTAAATTATCTATAGAAAGAAAATAATTTTCTCAATAAATCTTAAAATTTGTACTTGTATACCTATATTATTTAAAAAACTTTAGAATTTTACTAAAAATATTTGGCTTGTAAATCTTTAATTTATTACATTACATAATTTGTGTTTATATTTTATTGTTAAAATGTATTTATATCAAACCACGAAGTTTTTATATTTTTATTGTTGCAACATTTGTAAATTCAACACATTTAAACTTATTATTTTATTTTTTTTAGTTTTATAGTTTATACATTTTTTTATGAATAAGTCCTAGATTTTACATAAAAATATATTTTTTTTAACATTTATTTTTGATTTTCTGTAATTTAGAATGAATTAAAAAAATATAATTACGATGTACCATGTGATTAATAATTCAACGTAAAACACTCATTGCTTTAAAACTATAAATTTATTTGAACATTTTTTTTTCACATAACTTTAAGTATTATTTAATCGTTACAAAAAAACATGTATACATTTTATAGTTAACATTTTTTAAGTTTTACTTTAGAATTAAAATACACATGACATATGCGCTACTTCATAAGCAGATATTATTTGGATCATTTTGATGTAAAAAATTGAATTTCTGGTGAGTGTTTAATTAGTTTTTATTAGTAGATATTTGAAGTTTTAACGAGCGGAGTCTGTTGTAATGGTCTAATGTTGTAATGTTTTGGGGTACTCACTCCGCTCATCAAAACTTTAAATACTTATAGCTCATAATCTACTAAATTCGATTTTAATATATCAATCTAATTGTAAACATTTACAGTCAGACTAAGATGGACGATAGAAATATCATAAAGGCATGTGATAACATTTTAGTTCTTTGAAAGATCAGGATTATTATAATTATTGTTAAAATTTCTTGGATACCCTAAAATATGGTTAAAACTGAATAGATTTAGTTCTTCACTCCTAATTATGATATGTCTTACAAGAAACGTTATTGTACATTTTATATAAATATGTATTTTATGCGTTGAAACATTATAGTTGGGTATAGAAATTATAGATTATTGTTTATATTTTGTTGTAATTTCTATACGAATGAAATATTTTATGGAATTATTTAAAATAGTATTTGGAAAGATAAAGAAAAAAAATATAATAATAAAAAAATAAATAAAATAAAAATAATATAATATTATAATAATAATTACGCAAAGAATATAAATTATAAGTTAAAAATATTTTTATCTCGATTTATGTAGGTTATTAATTGGCTTAGAAACATTGAACAAGTGAGTTAGGATGTAATTTAAGAATAAATAAATTATTTTGAAACTAATGATAACACAATTTCGAAAACGTATTTATTATATACGGTTGTTTCTATTTTCCTCCTACCATAGTGGTTGATAGTAGACAGGAGTGGTTTGTTCGACGACTATTTATTCCCGCACCAGGACAAATTCCATTATAGCGGCCAAAAACGTCAACGGACTCTAATGAACAGCCCTTTTAAACAACACATTCTATGCAGCAATACCACCAAACAGATTAACGTTTGTCTCGTCACAACCAAGACAACTAGTGAAACCCTTCCCTAATTAATTATTGACCATTCACCTCGTTCACCAATGGTGGTGACAAATGTGTCGTATTTTATAAATGCTATTAAAACTGTCAAGTTACGTTACGTTATTTACTGGTTGTAGAATAAAAAAAGATTTATTAACATGCATTATTTTTATGGTGTTAAAATTATACACTAGAACGTAGTAATACACTTACAAATTCATGCTGTTCCAGAATATAATATTTTCAAATAATTATATGGTAAATAAAGTATAAAAAACACATAAATAGTATAAAATGTTAAAATCTATTTCATGGTATTTGCAAATACTTCACCTAAAATTAATTAATATTTATTAATTTTATTCTCTAACTATTAAAATAAGTATAAAGTGAAGAGGTGTTCAATTACCATGTTTAATAAAGTTAATTTACAGAATGTTATGGTTTTTAAATTATCGATCTGTTATAAAAATAATATACCTAACGTATGCACATCAATTGTGATGAGAAAAAGTACAGGACGAAAGTGATTATTTTCATCGTTTTATAAATAATTAATTTTTCATTTCGTAACAGAGACATTTATTTAATAATTTATTAAGCATTTAAAAAAAAATATTTTAACACATTCAAGTGTCATTGTTTTCCAACAAAAATTTTTTATACTTAACAACTGTATACCTAATTTTTGATAACCAATCAAAAACAAGTATTAAGTGTTACATTTTAAACTAACTAAAATATATTGAACATTTCTGTTTCATAGTATTTCGAAAACATTTTGGTAATAAATGATTTTATTTGTGTAATTTCAATTGTTAAAGATGTGACTTGCATTAAATAACTAATTTATAATATTAACTAATTAGTTTGGAAATGTGAAGTGTTCAGCGTATATTCAAATTGAAAAAATTAATATTTAACCCACTAGGTATTTTATTCACGTTTGCTTAGCACACAATAGGGATCATCAACAATGCTTTACCGGCTTCATATCCTCCCTTCTACCTAAAAGTGATTTGTGAGGGGGTAATGGTTTTTTCTCTCCATTTTTGACGAGTTTTCTATAGTAAAAAAATAGCTCTCGTCGACAGCTGATTCCGTTTTGTACTGTATATCGGCTTTTATACAAATCAATATATATATTTTCTATATATAATATATATATATATTTATTTTAAAAAGAGTGAAAGAGAATGATAGTAGAGATGGACGTTATTAATGCTCTTTTATACTTGAATCGTTTTCGATACCAGTGATAAATGCCAATCAGACCTAACCCTATCGGGACGAAAAACTTTAAATCTGTTTCACTGTGCCATTGTTGAACAATCGCCAGGGGATGCTAGGTGGAGGAAATCACGTCAATTTTTCTTTTTCCTCCATATACCATAAAAAATAATTTTTCAACTGTATATCTTTATGTGTACCTAATATAATAGAATATTATAATGAATAATTCATATAAATATATACTTACAATGAACGTGGAGCATCAGTCTTTTGCTAACCGATGGTGGTACACCATTGGCCGCAATGCAAAGGTATGCACCCATTTCTGATCTTGTAACTTTTGATAAAAGTAATGATTCACCTTCAACTGATGTCACTGAGATAAATAAATAAAATAGAAAAATATTTATACAAATAATTTCTTTGAATTTTACTAATAGTTATAACAAAAGTATTTTTTTATAAAAAGGACCATACTTTTGTTTATATCCTATTATATTATATATTATACTTATGTTAATAAGTAGAAAGTGGATTTTTATCTATTAAAAATTAAAAATATGTAAATATTTATGATTTATTTTTTGCCAAAATATGTATTAAAAAGCATGAAATATTAGTTTTACATTCATTTTTAATTATTGATCAATAATTATACAGAAAAAGTACCTGTTATAGATACATCTGTACTATAGGTTTATTAATTTATGATAAATATACATTTTTTTGAAACTAATTATTCGTCTAATCATTTTCACTGTTGTTTTCTTGGAAATCATTGGATACAGCGTACATTTGGAGATTTTCAAATTTAAATGTATAGTGGTTAGGTCCAGTGGCGTAACTAGCAGCAAATTTTTGGGGTATCGAACACTTTTATACATTTTTAACCTTTTTCCATTAGCACAAATAGGGGGCTATGTGGGATAATAAAAAAAATTACATTATAATTTATTTATAAATTGTATTTATCATATCACATTTCAGTTTTAGTGACTAGTTTAAATAAATAGTATAGGAACTCTTACAATACAAAAATTACTAAAAATAATTACTATTCTAAATCTATTTTTCGGTTTTTGTTCTTATTAAAAAGATTGATTATTTGTTCGTTGTTTACTTCTCTTTGTCTTTCGATGTATAATATAGCCATGTTAGAAAGACGTTCTTGACCGATAGTAGTTCTCAAGTAGTTTTTTAGTTTTTTTAAACAAGAAAATGACCTTTCACATGATACGCTGCTAGTGGGAATGGTTAAAAAAATTTGTAACAATTCAACTATAATTGGGAAACCATTTTGAATATCTTTGTTTTTCAAATATAATATTCTATTTTCAATGTTATTTTCTTTGCCATAGCCTTTAAACATTTTGTTAAATATTTTTAATTCAGCAGTTAAGTCATCTTCATTTGGTCCATAGAATTTGCACACTTCTTGAATTGAAGATTGACTAGGGCTTTCATTTGTCAGTGTTTCCATCAGTTACTCGGTGACATGAAAATTCACAACTATTTTTTTTTTTCATGATACGCTACGATCTATAAAGCCGCGTACACACTTGTAACATTTTCTGTTACGCCGTAACGCCGTAACACCGTTCCACCAGTTGTCGGTAAATTGAGTCGCATCAAAGGATGTTACGCGCAAATGTTACAAGTGTGTACGCGGCTTAATACGACGATTTTTTTTTATCAAATTATATAAATATTTTTGGGGTAGCAAAATGATACTCTTGCGACCCCATAATAATTTTGGGGGTCGCGACCGCTACCCCTCGCTACCCCATAGTTACGCCACTGGTTAGGTCTCAAAGTTTACTTGTAGCTGCTGCAGGAGCGTTCAACATCGACTGAGGATAATAGGGCATATTTCATACTTGATAATATATCATATGGTGTAATATCCATTGCCGTATTTCCATTTTTATTCAAAAGAATATCTCTAATAGTTTAAGTTTTTAGTGAACTAACATTTTTAACGGGTAGATATTGCAATTTAGTGATTTTTTTGTTATAACTCTGCATTGTAACTTGATTTAATTTATTTGCTTCTTGTATTGCAAGACTATTTACTTTAACCAAAAAACAATAATTTGCTGAAATATATCCTAAATGATTTTTCAGGTCATTATTTTGCATAATATCATACTTATTAATAATAAGTATATTGTACTAATGTATCATGAATTATGACATTATGTTTATATAAAGTTGTACGTTTCTGTCCATTAAATGATCAAGTATCATAGAAAACAATAATTATTAATATACACCTACCCATTATGAACTTTACAGATAGCAACTGGCTCAATACGTATACATGCTTATTTATAAATTATAAATAACTATTTTGGTTTAATACAATTTAAAAATAGAGAAAAAAAGTTATTATAATTATGTTATCCAAAATGTTTGTTCAATAATTTATGTAGGATGTACTATACGTATTTTGAAGGTTTAAATATATTTTTATATTATTTCGTATGCCTGACCTAACTACCTAACATAATCTACACAGTACATATTATTTAACACTATGATTTCATACGATGATTTTTTCCTGTTGATTAATTAGTTTATGCTATACCATCTATAGTATCAGTACATCAATATCATTTTAAATTAGTACGATACATTTTGTATAATTTACGTAGATATACTGCGATTTATTATATTACTCTATAATACCCCAAAAAGGATGATATCGATACTAGTACCAATTGCTATTATCTTTTATTTTGTAATAGATCATACGATTTATTTTTAAAATAATAAACAACAGCTCGTTTATGAGCACTCCGTATATATTGATGAAGGGTTTATGTTTCAAGCTTGAACTTTGGCTTCCAACTTTTTTTCTATTAATAGATTAGTTCATGGTATTAGCGTCTTTACATTACATATAATATTAAACTACAGACTATACTTTTTATTGGGATGAATGAATAAAATGAATTATAAATTTATTACTTGAAACCTTATGATTGTTGAAATTCCATTCGTCTTACTTTTAGTTTTTACTGTAGTTCCAGTTCTAACAATAATATCCCCTCCGTCTTCTCTTTTCCATATTATCTTTGGTTCAGGATATCCTCGAGCCTTGCAAATCAATTTGGCTGAACCACCTTCAGGGATCATCATATCCCCGGACGTGTCTTCATATATGATGTCTGGTGGTATAACTACTTCTAAAAAAGCACTCTACAAGCAAATATAGTAAAGTTAGTCAATTACAAAAAAAAAAATTAAAAATATATTTATATTTATGTCTTAGTAAAGTAAAGTTGCAGTCAATTTTACTTGGCTTTTCATTGGGTCCGTATTGACTTGACACATATAGGTGCCTCTATCTTCTCTCCGAACTGCCCTAACATTTAATGTCCATGTGTTATAATCATTGTGCGTGACGGACAACCTTTCATTGTTCGTGATAACATGTTCGTGGATAGCTAATATAGCCTTTGTATCTGCTTTAATCCAAGCAACCTGAGTACAACCAACCGTGTGTTAGAAACATGAAGTTATATATAATTCGTCATTCACAGCAATCATAAGTACGATATAATTGGTTTTGATTAGTTTAAGTTGAATTGGTAAGTTTGTTTTTACGTTAAAAATAATTTAATATTTCATAAATAATATGAAACGTAGTATGGAACGATGTCGTTTTTTATCTTCATACTTATGATTATTATTATTATTGTTTCACATTTCGTAATTATTTAGATAGTAATAATATTTTTAGTCTACTCTAATAGTGCCATTTGTGCTATACAAGTGATTTCTTCTATAAAATATTTAAATATAATAGATAGTGCAGAAAATATACATGTGCTGGTATGTGCTGTTTTTTTTACTAAAATTGAGGTTTAGTATTGGATCAAAAGAGACTGTATACGATGCGATGGAAATCCATTACGTAATGGGATTTGGTAGGGTGAATAGACGTGTATATTCAAATGTACAAACATACTAGAAATACTTCGCTTTTTTTTTTACCTACTTACTATTCTATTAAAAAAAGGCCTTTGTAAAAATTATATGATACGATTGGTTTATGTAAAAGTATAGCACGCATTGTATTAAGAGAAATAATGCAAGTATAATATTTTGTATTATGTTGCTATACACTCTTAATTTAAAATTGTTTTATATACCTATTATTTAATATAAATTGATGTCGAACTAAACATTTCATGTATAAAAACTATAAAGGTAATGCATTCAAAGTTTTTTTTCAGATCATAATGTGTATTGAATATTATTTGTATTAATACTACTCATACTAGTAAAATTAATATAGCTTAATATTATTTATGATTTCATTATTAAGTATATTTTTTATATATTTTTGACCTTTTTAAATGTTGAAATCAAAATATTTATGACGAAAATGTACATTTTTATAATCTAAACTTCTGTACATTAATTAAAATGTGTTTTCTAGTTTATTTTAAATATTCTTTGAACATATACCTAATTCCATATTGTATCTTAAATCTCTAAACATATTTCAATGTTTGAATTCAAACAGTAAAATTAATATTACACAAGTCAAAAATGACCAAACAAGCTTAAATGAGAACATTTTTTTCGTTAACAACACTTTTTAGTGGGTAGGTAAAGGTTTATTTAAGAGAATTGGAAAATTGGAGCTGACGTTTATTGTACTCTTAGGATATTGTGTTTGCTGGTTTCTTAAAATTACTTTTTGGTCTCTCAAGACATTGTGCACGTTGTGCCATATTAAAGCTTACGTTCTGTAGTCATAACTGAGCGTTTTGTTTACGACGGCGTTCTAAGTAGGCAATCGAGGTGTCTTGATGAATAGGGTAACTATTTCTTTATAATTTCTTTGTGTTTACTTACTTATCATTTATTAAAAAAACATTTGAAAAGTGCCCGTTTAAATTGAAGTGGACGAGTAGATGTTTTTTAGTTTACACAATTTATTTTTTTGATCGACTTAAACTATTTTAAGGCTTGAAGTTTTCGGAATTCAACCTGCGTTTATTCTTCGGATAGGACGTTGATGAAAAAAGGAAATTGAGAAATGTACTAGGAATGAGAATTTCACTGGACTACAGGTAAAGGATAAGCCACCATCGTCTCCTCGTAATTCTTTGTTACATTTATCTGTTTATGTTATCGAAACATCAATATGGCGGTGTTTGTACTTGCTGTCGACCAAATACAATATTGTGTAACTTTTCACCCTCCCTCATTTCTTTATTTTTTACTACGATGGGAAAAAGTATAAAGCTGGGTCGATCACGTTTTGTCCCTAGTAGAAGTTTTGGCAACATACCATCATATTAGAACTCGTAGCACGAATGGAAATCGTTTTTCATATTTTTACCTTATGGACTATTATGTTAGATGATATTCAATATAAGAATTAGTAGACACATACATACCTATATATAAGGATTTCATTATTTTTAAGTTATCTTATTGCTAAGAATAACTTTATAAAAAGATGTATTTAATTGTTTTACGGATTTTACCACAAATAGTAAACATCCAGTTCAGAAATGTATAGATTTTTGTTTTTATGAAGTATGTGTAAAAAAAATATAATAATCATTTTCAAAAAGGCTCAATATAAAATGTTAGAGTGTTCGTACTTTTTACACACAGGAATGCGGTCAATAGTGCAATCATATTTCTCCGTTTTTCTATATTGGCCTTACTAGAAAACACAAAAGGCTATTATAATAGGTAGTTTTATAATTGATCTGCTAATAATAGTTTTAGTTTGTTATAAGTATCAATATAATTTGACGAGCGAGATAACTGTTCGACAGTTTATTATTGAATCTAATGACGATGGAAGATAATAATTACAAATATCATCTATAAACTTGTGAAATCAACCGTTTTTTTAGCTTTATTCGTTGGCTGAAAAATAATGTATCTCTCTAAAATCGCCTTAAATCAAATTAATCTTTTATTTTAATACTTGAATATTGTAACGACCATTAAACGAATCGAACTACTGAGTGGACAGTGATGTAAGGAACTTAAACGGATAAAACAATTTGTATATTACTATTGGTTAGTATTAGCGGAACGAGTGTATTCAATATAATTCCCATTGTAAATAACACCGATCTGAGTAAACGACACACGTAATGGTGGCAGAATTGTATCTTAATCTTTATAAAATATTATTCGTTTAAAACCACATTGAAAGGTCATAGGTACTACTTTAATATATTCAAACCTTATTTTGTTGATTTAATAATGTATGAGCAATAATAATGTGTCTAATATTATACAAAAATATGATATCGTTATACTGCCACAGCGGCGCATTCGTGACGAAAAAAGTATGTTCAAACGTAGTAATACGTTGAAATTTGTCGGACTTAATGTGTGATGATTTGAAATATTTTTTGAAGAGATCCGCGGAGAAGAAAAATGACAGGAAAAACATCTTCGACGTAAGAAAAAAGCAAAAAACTGCGGTTTTTCCACTCTGCTGTGATATACGTGTCTGTCCATTGCTCAGCATTATTTAATAATATACGTAATTTTCGGGGTAGGGTTGCCTCGGGTGTTGGGACCTGCTGGTCCACGATCTCTGACAGAAAATGACAAAACGACGCACGTAAAACGGTTGTCATCGCTCTGACGTGACCGAATGCGTTTTTCGATCAATCAACGATAACTATAACAATATACCTACACAGCGGTGTTTCCGAGTCATCATTATCCAAGTAGAATAAATTGAGCGAGTGGTTTTCTCACGACAGAGCCATGCGTGGTTTTTTGTGACTGATTTTCACGAGCAATTACTCAATATTCAGTAAAAATGATCGTATTTATAAATATCAAAAAAATTAAAAACTAAAAAGAACAGAAGTATATGTATAAATAAATAATCGTCTGTTATGATATATTTGATAAAAATTGCAATTTAAAGTTTTCTAAAATCAAAAAACAAAATTTATTAAAATTTTAAGTAAAGAAATTACTAATCAAAACAAACTTAATACAATGAAATATACAAATAATGCAAACAATAAACGCAAACATTTTGTATTTGTCATATCATCGATCTCAGTGCTAAACTGCTAACTATTAAACATTGTTATTTTACATATAGATATTTATAAAATTGTCATCAATTATCATATATTGTAATCGCCATGCATCATAATCCAGTCCCATTTTATCAAATTATTGACTAGCTATAATTTATTTCGAAGTAATATGCTATACTATAATGCTCTCACTAAATTTGGCTCTGTAGTAAAACAACAGTGAAGGCGCAGAACGCAATTCAGGATTGCCGAAATGTCAACCAACATCGCTCTTTGTCGGGTAGAGAATATGTTTCGGTGACCACCATCGGAGTATAGTGTCGTACCGATGAATAATAATGGTTTCGGGGGGTAGACCGAAAACGGCGATGACGACGGCGACGATACGGTGCGGCGGCGGCAGCGGAAAACATCGCTCACCCTCGTCACACACCTTTGTCGGGCATAAGGGCTCCTTATTCTCACCCCTTCAACAGTTTGGTGAGCTTCAGAATTATAATGAGACTCGTCGCACCGCACAATGCGCCCTTTCAACAAACTTTATTATATATTTTATATAAGTATTGGGATTTGTCAAACATTTGCTCGGGTATTGCTTAACCTCCGCGGCCGCTACCAACTCACACCCTTACCGCACTTACGCTGGCTGCACGGACTTTCACCCACCAATACGCACTTGTTATAAGTTATACAACTGGTCTATATATACCAATCTATGACCCATCTTCCAACACATTCTCCTCGTGGCACGTGTGCTAGTTCCAGTCGTATCAGAAATATACTGTAGAATAGATTTAAATCTCATACCAATTCCACTTTATCAGTTCTTCCTCCTCCTCCTTCGACAGATCGTTTACTTCATTCTTGTCTCGTGATTCGAAAAAAAATATTATTTTATTCAATTTATCCACACCGTAGTGATGAGTATTATTTAATATAATATCACGTAATTGTCATTTGGAGTCACTCGTGCTCGTCTTAATTCGTCCAATGTTTATAGGTTTCTATAAATTATATGTCGATTATCTACTCCAAACACACACGTAAAAACTTAAATTTATATTTTTATAAGATCTTTCTTTCTTTCCACTGTGGTCAGTGGTCACTACGATAGAAATTGGTGTCAGTTTTGTCTATTCCTTGTATATTATAGCTAAACCTAAATTTCTATGCTAACAAAGAACTATTTTTAGCTTTGAAATGTTAACTGATTAAGAACTCAAATTCTAACTACCGTAATACATTGCAATCTGTCTATTTTCTAGACTTTTGAGATATAATATGGTTTTATATTGAAATAGTCCAGTTTCTTAATTTAATTTAAATGTATAAATGCTTAATATATCTCACATTCATAATACAGTTATACCAATTTGATATAATTTCATTTGATCTACAGTCGTGAATCCATGGTTCATGCATCTACTTACCCATTTC